CTCCGGCTCCGCGGCGCGGCTCCGCTGCCTCCGCCTCCCGCGGCTCCGCCTTCCCCCTGCCCTCCCCGGCCTCGCGAGCTCCGCCGACGCCGACTGGGGCTGCTCTCCGGAAGCGGCCGGGTCCTCCCTCTCCTCGGCCCAAGAATAGTTCCCACTCAGAGCTTCGTCTCCCCTCCTCCTCCCTCCCCCTACTTCTCAGCCGTCCCACACGCCGCAGCCGCCTCCTGTCATCGCCTTTCAAACCAACATGGCGGCGAAGGCAGCCTCGCGCGCCGAGGGGACACCGGGAGAGTGCGCCCCCCTCCCCGCAGTCGCCGCCCCCGGCTTCCCTCCCTCCCTCCCTCCGCGGACACCGCGTGCGTCACAACGGAGAGCACTCTCGAGCATCATGGGAAATGTAGTTCACACTCAGGAGATGGGGGGGCGGGGGAAGGGGCAGCAGAACGCGTCCTGGTGGGACTCGAAGCCACGTCCCCCGTAGCAACCGTTACTAGGAAAGGAGAACTCTGTTTTTAGTGGCGTTAGCCCAGCGGCAGCCCGAGAGTTAGGCGATCCCGGTACCTGCTAGCTAGCTACCAGGAGTGAGTGCTGTGATGGTGCCAGTTGTTGGTGAGGAAATAATTGGGCATGGAGAAATTCCCTCAAGCGCAGTTTGCACAGAGTTAAAATAGAACAAGTCTCGCACCCGAAGCATTCATTTTAATTACAGCACGCTCTCCACATCCTGCAATTTCAAACCATGGCGTAGAGTGATTTCGTCCAGGTCTCCTCAAACATTACCTTATGAGGATCTGAAAACAACCATTGATTTCCAATAAGGTCGTAGAAGTTCAGCAGGAACAAGGATCTCATTAAGCAGTGAGAATGTTTGAACATGTGTCTCTTGAAGACCCAGGGTCACAAAAGCTACAATATACTTAATTGAAATTACGAAAAACTGTGTTGGATACAAAAGTATTATCATGCCAAATCTGTATCAGGAAAGAGCTACTACAAATTATATGTAGATTCTCCTGGTAACTGGCTTAATCCTCAAATTGTATTTAACTGGTAATGGAATTGAGTTGAGTTGAAAATAGCAGAAAATAATGCCATCATTGAGAGATTTAGGTGAAAAAAATATATGTAGCCAGATTTTAGGATCAGGATGCAGAAACCACAGCCACCTAAGTGGCTTATTTGTATTTTAGTCCTTTAGGAAGGGCAGGCTCAATAAGATACATTTATAAAAATGTCAGTGGATTTGGGTCTGAAAACTATCTCTCCAACCAACAGCTATGTGATCTCATCTGTAAAACAGTCTCGTCTACCTTCCATGGGTAAAGTAGGGGCACTTGTGAGTATGAGTTCATGCATGGGAAATAAATTACTTTGTAAATAACAATGCATCATTTGATATGAAATGTTCCTAGTCATTCTCTCATTCAGCAAACAAATGTGCCAGGCACTCTGCTAGGCACTGGGAGTCTAAAAATGAATGATCCAGTCATTCCCTGGTCTCCAGTCAGGGAGTCTATTGTCTGAGAGCTTCTGTCATTCCCCACAGTAACCTCTCCTCCAGTCAGGTTTATCTCCTCTGAGAGAAACTCACTCACAGGGCATTTGGAATGTCTGCCTCTTGAGTGGCCTGGCTGAAGAAATGCCAGGCTCTTTTAGGGGCCTGCATCACCCCAAGGAGGACTGATCAAATTCCTTAGGAGTCCAAATGGGCCCCAGTGTCACCAAGATTTGCCTTCAAGACTTACAATGCTTTTGAGTCTGTGATTCTATGATTCTCCCCACCCCCATGGTCTCTGTTATTTAGTTTTCCATTCTCCATATTTAGAATCCAGAGGTCCTACCCCTCCACCAGCCCTCATGGAATTCAGAGTAGTTTGAAATGCATCTGTCAACAGATGGGTTCAGAAAGGAGACTGGAACACACTGTGAAGGTAGTCACATGTGATTCCTCCCACTCTACCCCTGACCAGGTTTTTTTTTTTTTCTCAGTGATTGCCCAGGCCCTGGCTCTACTGGACTGAAATACTATTGTAAACAAGGTGAGAAGCATAAGCCACATGGATGTATTAAAGCACACAACTCATCCATCCTCTGCTGCTGACCCTCAGCCCTATGTCCAGGGATGTAATGGTCCCCAACCCACTGCCAGCCCAGGCCTTGGCATTCCTGCCATATGATGTTGTTACCACTGATCACTGCCATCTCTACAAAAGGCCCCATGTTTCACAAGTAAAGTTACCTCATGTAGCATGTTTCCAATTCCTCTTTTAAGAGAGCCTGAGACATTATTCTCAATAAAACTCATTATAACTTCTCTGACACAGCTAGGGCAGAAGGGAGCATTATTGAACACAGTTGCAGATTTTTCTCCGGTCTTCTCTTTGCTCTCTGCTTCCTAGCTCAGGAGGGTGGAATGGGAAACTGCAGAAAGAGTCCAGCTGTCCACAGCAGGGAAGGGTAACATCTTCTCTGTACCATGAAGCCGTTGTCAGCATCAGTTGGAAGGAAGTGAATGACACAGCATTTTTGTTATGGGAAAAATAGCTTCACAAGAAATCAAAGACTTGGCTCTGTCAGGAATTAGTTGTGTGCCCTTCACAATGACACTTAGTCCCTCTGCACCTCAATTCGTTCATCTAAGGGCTTGGACTAACTAAGGACCCTTCTAAGGGTTTATGAGAGAAATCCTAGAGAAATATTATCCATGGCCTGTTGAAACTACTCCTACTGCTCTTGGGACTTTTTTTTTTTTTTTTGCAATGTGTGTGTGTGTGGGGGGGGGAATCAGGGAAATGGAGGATGAAAATGTTATAGATTATGGTAATGGTTTCACAACTGTAAATATTACAGAATTACAGAAGTCACTGAACTATATGGTTTAAACTGATGGATATTTTTTATTATTCTTTAAATTGTGGCAAAATACATTACATAAAATTATCCATCCTGGTCTGGGGGCATGGCTCAAGTAGTAGAATGCTGACTAACAAGCTGAGGCACCAAGTTCAAATCCCAGTACTGTGGGAAAAGAAAAGAAGAAAATGTCCACTTTAACTGAAACTTCGTTTCTTAACTTTTCTCCTTCCCTCCTCCTTTCCTTCCTTCCTTTTCTTTCCTCTCTTCCTCTGTTCCTTCTGTCCTCCCTTCCTCTCTTTTCTGTCTTATTTCTTTTCTCTCTCTTTCTCTTCTTTCTTTCTCTCTCTCCCTTCCTTCCTTCCTCCCTCCCTCCCTCCCTCCCTCCCTCCCTTCCTTCCTTCCT